CAAATGCATTGTTAATATTCCTGTCAACCTTTGGAGATGAATGAGGTGAGGCGTTGCCCGGGCAACACGGTGAGGTGTTGCCCGAGCATATAAGCAGCAGAATAGCAAACATTAACCAGAGTCTACTTTCAAGTGTGGTCTAGAGCAGACACTTGCGAGATACTGTACCGACGCTCAGTGCGCTCAACTCACACCAAAGTATCACCTGTGTACTTCTGTATATTCGACCAAATATATATATAGTATCTTAGTGTCTGTGTTTATTGTCACCATACTTTACGTAACAATAGAACCGTTACATTGGTGACCCCAGAGAGTTTCGACGATACCCAGCCACGATGGACTACAACATGGACTCTCACTGGACCTCCACTGCTGCTGCTTGCTGTGGACCGCAGCCACCTGTCGTGGAACGTTGCCAACACCCTTGCCACAGCTATGATTTTCATCGCGATCATCTCTGCATTTTCATCTACTACGGCTTGCTGCTCCACGATCACTACTCACTCATCTGGCAGCTTCATCAGTAACTACATAATGTGGGATCTACAGCCTGTCCTGCCGACTCTCCGTCGCTGCCAGGGCACTGCTTGTTCTACAGGGGCGCCCACGAAAGCTGCTCTTTCGTCAGATTCATCTACACGTTCACTGCATTCTGATACTCTGCCGACTCAAGCACTTTGCGCAGTACAGGACTTACAGCTTGCGTTTCCGACTCTTCGTCGCCTCCAGGACAATTCAGCTCTAGCAGTGATTCCCTCGTTGTCCTAACTACGTGCCTACATTACCTCCTATTGTCCTGGTGCCCGAGCCCATCCGCCCCGGATCTAAATGCTCCACCAACAACCCAAGACGCTACAGCTTCGACACAGAGCAGACAGCAGACTACGACCGCATCGAGCCGCCACGCTCTCGCTCCCTGAGTTCAGACACTCACAATTCTCAATCGAGCCGCCACGCTCTCCCACATAGAGCTCCACGACTCCGGCCTCACTCAGCTCTCTGCTCCGGCCTGCTCAGCTCTCTGCTCTGCTCCAGGCTTCGTCTCAACGTCTGCGACACTGCTAAATCCAGAGACACATCCGCCGACTACGCAGTTCACTTTTTCGACCACAGTTACCAGCAGCACCGCCACCTACGACAACGGACGATCCTGTACGACCTCCCACCCTACAACCCCAGTTACCAGCCGCACCACAACCTGATCCTACGACGACGGACGATCCTGTGCGACCTCCCACCCTACGACCCCAGTTAGATGACATCAGCGAAGAGGAGGAAGTTAACTTTGATGGTTATGTAACGCGAGCAGGGCGTACAATTCACCGACCAGCTAAGTTCCTTGATCAAGTATTTTTCCTTTCATCCCCTGGGAGGGGGAGTTCTGTAGCGAGTAGATTATCCCAATAATATACTCGCTCCAAATGCATTGTTAATATTCCTGTCAACCTTTGGAGATGAATGAGGTGAGGCGTTGCCCGGGCAACACGGTGAGGTGTTGCCCGAGCATATAAGCAGCAGAATAGCAAACATTAACCAGAGTCTACTTTCAAGTGTGGTCTAGAGCAGACACTTGCGAGATACTGTACCGACGCTCAGTGCGCTCAACTCACACCAAAGTATCACCTGTGTACTTCTGTATATTAGACCAAATATATATATAGTATCTTAGTGTCTGTGTTTATTGTCACCATACTTTACGTAACAATAGAACCGTTACAGGCCTATTGCAGACATTAATATCAGAAATATTCTGTAATTTTTTTCGGCATCAGTGTTGAATATTATTATCAGAAAAGTCATAAATGTTAGGTTCTTAGTGTTAAAACTAAATTTACAGGGTTAGCCGGTAGCTTGGGTCAACCTATCGTCGTGGTGGTGTGAATGCGACCCTGGCACGCTGTTCACTTTTGAATAACGGCGGCCCTGACCAGCCTGCGTTCCTCCCACACCCCCAGACCATTCCCACTGCCAATTAGGGTGAGCCTAGCCCTAAGCATCTGGCCTCCAAATTTGAATAGACAAACAAACGTACTCTCTTATTGTAAGCACGGAGGGTTACCCGGCGGTGCCCGGGATATTCTGTCTCTCCCCACAACCCTCTTACCCCATCTCCTTCTTGACCCCCTAGACCTCATCCCCTCTATCACCTCCCTCTGGTCCTTCCCCAGGACCTCCCCCCCTTACACCCTTCCTCCCCTTCCCCTACTTACCACACCACTTTCGCCACCCCCATTTCGTCCTCTTTGTTACTCTTCTTTCCCCTCACCCCTTGTGCCCACACCTTTGGGGCTCTCCTTCCTACTTTCCTTCCTTCCCTTAACACCTCTTACCTACTCTCCCCTTACCCCACTCCCCTTTCTTTCTCCTCCACTGCCACCACTCATGCTACTCTGTATTTATATTGTTAAATGGCATTCACATAAAATATAATAGTTTCTCCTCTCGAATTTGTGAGTTGACCTTCAGTCTTGTATGGGACCAGGAGTTTCAGAATATAATTGATGTGGTTTATGGGACTGTGGCTTTAGTAAAGATCGCAGGACATTTCAGCTAATTTTTCGGATATCAATGAATAAAGATGGATATTTCTATTAGAAATACGTATTGATTTTTTTTTCAAAATATTTTCGTAAGTACACTTGCGGGGAGGGACAAAAATCATCGTGAGGGGTCTGAATAGGACCATGGAACGTCGATCTCTTTTTGAATTCTGACGAACCCGATTAGTATAAGCTAATCCCAAATCCCACAAAATGGATTTGTCTTCTCATTCTCTATCGTTTCTCCCACAAAACACAATTAAACGTCTATAAAGTTTATGGAAAAATGTGTATGATAATATTCAACTCAAAACTAAATAACAAACGCAATATTTAGATTTAGATTTTGGCTGTGTATTCATAAGAACTTAAACAAATCGTATCAATTTCGGATGGACTGAAAAGGTGTATAGAAGTTCTTGCCAAACTTAAATTTTTAGAAAGTAATTGAAATACAATTCACTCAAAATATTTGAAAAATATTGTGTAATATCAATGGTAATGACAGAGGCAGAAGTGCTGCTTGCAAGAGTATTAACATAAATACTTGTTTTAAAGCACACTTTTTCATAATTCGGGTGCATGAAACGTGAGTTTGAAGAGCTCTGCAAACTGTATCCTCCATCACAGAGAACTTGTGCTGGGATCACAGCTAGGGACTAGGGACCTGAGCACCGACCAATGATAGAAGTACAGTGACCAATCCTAGGGACATGGCAGAGGTATAATGATGACTGCTAGGTATATGGTAGAGGTACGCTGACTACTACATGTATATGACAGAGGTACACTAAAGACTACTAGGTACATGCCAGAGGTACACTAAAGACTACTAGGTACATGCCATAGGTATGCTGACTACTGCTAGGTACATGCCAGAGGTACACTGACTACCAACAAAGACTAGGAAGATGACCATTGACCACAGCTACGGACAGGACAGAAATACACTGACGACTGCTAAGAACATTACAGTGGTAATCTGACCATAGCAAAGGATATTACAATAATACACTGAGTAGAGCTAAGTATAAAATGCGGACCAAGTGATCACAGTTCGTATGCCAAGCCACACAAAATATTCTCCTGATAAACAGTAACAGGTAACGCTTCAACATTTCAGGGTAGAATGTGAAATTTCAATTGACCATAATATAAGATGACCAAACCACACATATGGTTTGGTCATCCTAAATGCATAATATGTTATATGTATATAATATGTCTATTATATGCATGTTATATGCACATTATATGTTATAATATGTTATATGTATATTTTATGTTTGGTCAGCAATTATATGTATAAATGCTTATACTATATATATGTATTGCTTATACTATATATTTAATAGTATATCAATTTATTTTGTAAATATTATTGAGGTCATTATTGGACGGAGTGACATTGAACAAGATCTCTCAAAAAAAATCGCGAAATAATATTTTTGTAAATGTTTCCCCCCCTTGCCCCCCCCCTCTCCCCCCATGCCCCCCCTCTCCCCCCTCGCTCGCCGTATCGCATAACGAGAAATGTGTTGGGTTGAAAAGATCCAGGTGAAAAGATTGTGTGTGTGGGTGCAGCTTTAAGAAGGAGTGTAGAGGCACTGAGGTCAACTTTATGCTGCTGCTCCGTGGTGTTTCTGGCCTGACCTGTTTAACTACGTGTGTATGGAGAATATAGTGATATTCTTGGGTTGGGGCTTGGGTACTACCCTATTTGTACTTGCAAGGGATGAGCTCTGGCTCTTTGGTCCCGCCTCTCAACTATCAATCAACTAGTGTACAGGTTCCTGAGTCTACTAGGCTCTATCATAGTTACACTTGAAACTGTGTTTGGAGTCAACTTCCACCACATCACTTCCTAATGCATTCCATTTGTCAACCACTCTGACACAAAAAAAGTTCTTTCTAATATCTCTGTGGCTCATTTGGGCACTCAGTTTCCACCTGTGTCCCCTAGTGTGTGTGCCCCTTGTGTTAAATAGCATGTCCTTATCTACCCTATCTATTCCTTTAAGAATCTTGTATGTGATGATCAAGTCCCCACTAACTCTTCTGTCTTCCAGCGACGTGAGGTTTAACTCCCGTAGTCTCTCCTCGTAGCTCATACCCCGCAACCCGGGTACTAGTTTGGTAGCAAACCTTTGAACCTTCTCCAGTTTAGTCTTATGCTTGACTACATATGGACTCCATGCTGGAGCTGCATTCTCCAGGATTGGTCTGACATATGTGGTATACAAAGTTCTGAATGTTTCCTTACACAAGTTTCTAAATGCCATTCTTATGTTAGCCAACCTGGCATATGCTGCTGATGTTATCCTCTTGACATGGGCTTCAGGGACAGGTCTGGCGTGATATCAACCCCCAGGACTTTCTCTCTCTCTCTGACTCTTGAAGAATTTCATCTCCCAAATGATATTGAAGACTCCCGTAGTCTCTCCTCGTAGCTCATACCTCTCAGCTCGGGTACTCCATGGTCGGGCGCCATCTTGCCCTCCGCCTCGTCAGGGTGCATCATGTATCTGCAACCACCATGCTAATTATACTATGTGTGTGTGAGTGTGTGAGTGTGTATTTACTATTTGTGCCAGCAGAATCGAGCTATTAGCTCTTCGACTCCACCTCTCTAACCAATCTATTTTCCCTATATAATATCTACTACATATATTTATCTCAAACACACGCACACACACACCCAGGAAGCAGCAAATAACAGATGTCTAACTCTCAGGTACCTATTTAATGCTAGGAAACAGGACCATATGGGTGAAAGAAACTCTGCCCATTTGTCTCTGCCGGCGCCGGGAATCGAACCAAGGCCACAGGATTACGAGTCCCGCGCGCTGTCCACTCAACTACAAGACTCGTGTGTGTGTGTGTGTTTACTAGTTGTGTTTTTACGGGGGTTGAGCTTTGCTCTTTCGGCCCGCCTCTCAACTGTCAATCAACTGTTTACTAACTACTTTTTTTTTTTCCCACACCACACACACACACACACACACACACACCAGGAAGCAGCCAGTGACAGCTGACTAACTCCCAGGTACCTATTTACTGCTAGGTAACAGGGGCATTCAGGGTGAAAGAAACTTTGCCCATTTGTTTCTGCCTCGTGCGGGAATCGAACCCGCGCCACAGAATTACGAATCCTGCGCGCTATCCACCAGGCTACGAGGCCCACAATGTGTGTGTGTGTGTGTGTGTATGTGTGTGTGTGTGTGTGTGTGTGTGTGTGTGTGTGTGTGTGTGTGTGTGTGTGTGTGTGTGTACTCACCTAGTTGTAGTCACCTAGTTGTGTTTGCGGGGGTGGAGCTCTGGCTCTTTGGTCCCGCCTCTCCACCGTCAATCAACAAGTGTACTGATTCCTGAGCCTATTGGGCTCTATCATATCTACACTTGAAAGAAACTCTGCCCATTTGTCTCTGCCGGCGCCAGGAATCGAACCAAGGCCACAGGATTACGAGTACCGCGCGCTGTCCACTCAACTACAAAACTCGGGTGTGTGTGTGTGTGTGTACTCACCTATTATGCTTGAAGAATCGAGTTCTTGCTCTTGGACCCTTTTCCCCAGTCACCGGTTGTCTAGAACAATGTCTCCTGACCTATTTTCCTATCACATCTACTTTTAAAATTAACAATGCCTCTACAACCTTCTCCTTCAAATATTTGCATTTTCCCATTACACTTAAAGGTAAACTTCCGAACATCTCTGTGACTCATCTGAGTCTCAAGCTTCCATTTTTGTTCTCGTTTTCTAATGGTATTCATTGTGAGAATTTCCTCTTTTACTAGAGTCTGTCTATCCCACCTAAGTGTTTAATACGTCTCTCCAAGCTGCATGCCGGGGATGTGTACGGTAGAGAGAAATATGTAGTAGATATGGTTAATAGATATATCGGGTATATATGGTAGAGAGAAATATGTAGTAGATATGGTACAGAGAAATATGCAGTAGATATGGTAGAAGAAACATGGGTTGGGAGTCAGTGTATTAGACAACCGTTGCCTCTGATGCCTTGTCATACCGTCATATTGTTGTCTTTCGTGTGCACTATCCTCGTCATTTCAAACAATGTTTGGAACTTTTGTATCGTTCAACTGGTTTCGGATCCCAGAGTTCAAAGATTTCAGAAACGGCTCTCAATTTACTAATAACTTCAGTTGGTCCCAATCCTTCGTCTAGTGTGTCTGGCAAGCTCTGCTATATAACGAAGTGATACATTCGATTCTCGTATTTTTTCTTGGATTTAAGCAGTTCATTCTAGAGTGTATGGTGGGAAGTCCGTAACAACCTGTGTGTTAAACATCTGTAAATCCTACATTGCTCCAGAGACAGTGTTAAATAAATCTCTCTCGCTTTCTCCGTAAATTTTCCAGCCACTAATGTTGCTTACTGTTCATTGCGCCATCCACGGAGCTCCGCCAGTCCAAAAAAAAAAAAATGTCGATTTCTGCGGCATTGAAACCTGGTAGGACTGTACTCCCATCCTCACAAACCCTAGGCTGTCCATAGTCCTCCTTAAGACACTGATCTAAAATCCTCTATCCTAGAATCCTCAGATTTTCCTCTTCTTATGCTGTATCCCGAAGGATTTGTCTATCCCCTCGTGAACTAACCTCCAAGCCTTCAGTTTAATTTATCTTTTCACCCGGCGGCCAGAAAGAAAAATTCGTTTTCACCATCCTGTCTAAAGCTTAAAATTTCGCCACTTTTTCCATGAAGTTTTAACTCTAACTTAATAACTCAATCTGCAAGTTGGTAAGATCACCAACACTTTTTGACATTCCTTTCTGAACTCTGAAATAGAACGTTCTCCATTGATCGCTGACGTATACTAGTCACTCAACACCCTCACCAGTCATTACACCCACCAGCAGTGACAGTCACCTCTGCACTCCTCAACACCCTCACCAGTCACTACACCCACCAGCAGTGACAGTCACCTCTGCTCTCCTCAACACCCTCACCAGTCACTACACCCACCAGCAGCACCAGTCACCTCTGCTCTCCTCAACACCCTCACCAGTCACTACACCCACCAGCAGTGACAGTCACCTCTGCTCTCCTCAACGCCCTCACCAGTCACTACACCTACCAGCAGTGACAGTCACCTCTGCTCTCCTCAACACCCTCACCAGTCACTACACCTACCAGCAGCGACAGTCACCTCTGCTCTCCTCAACACCCTCACCAGTCACTACACCTACCAGCAGTGACAGTCACCTCTGCTCTCCTCAACACCCTCACCAGTCACTACACCCACCAGCAGCGACAGTCACCTCTGCTCTCCTCAACACCCTCACCAGTCACTACACCCACCAGCAGCACCAGTCACCTCTGCTCTCCTCAACACCCTCACCAGTCACTACACCCACCAGCAGCGACAGTCACCTCTGCTCTCCTCAACACCCTCACCAGTCACTACACCCACCAGCAGTGACAGTCACCTCTACTCTCCTCAACTCCCTCACCAGTCACTATACCCACCAGCAGTGACAGTCACCTCTGCTCTCATCACCGCCGCTACAGTTAGATATTCAGGAAGAATCCTGCCTCAATCAGCATAGTTTGAATTTTGTCACATTTTCGACCACAGCAAATTCTGTAACCACAAGGAGCTTTCTAGTTTGCTATACCTATATCGGTGTACATAACTGCCACCCGTTTGGTGTTGTAGAATTATCTGATGTGTCCATTGTGCCACATTATGTGTCTCTGGGTACAAGTTTACACTTGATTACTCTACACTTACAAGTTTAAAGAAAAGTCACTTGTTTGCCACTAATTCGAGTACTCTTTTCACCATATCTATTAACAATGACCTCCAGCTCAGTCCTACACTAGAACCGGCCGGCCAGCTCACTTTTGGCTCGCTTGGCCGCTTGACACCACTTGCTGGACACATTCAGCCCACAAGTACCCCTCCACACACCTAGTACTCAGAAGGACGGAACCCAGGAATCGTTCACCCTGGGCCCCTATTGCCCCTACACTTACGATTCCAGAGACTCAACGCAATGTGAGCCCTCCCCCTGTCCCCGATTAACCTGGATTACCCAGAAACATTGTGTCTGGTGACGTTGTCACCTCCGGAAGGTATCAACGTCCGGGACCTGACACCGTAATACTGCAACAATGGAAACAGAAGGAAATTGTTACTTAACTTAAAGATTGGTTAAGTTGTGTCACGTGATGAGCTGTTTATGTTGACTTACCTGGCAAGGCACGAAATGTCTTTTGTAATTTTTTAAAAATTTTTATTCATTAAAAACCTAATATACCACATGAATAATCATATTCTAATTTATATATATATATATATATATATATATATATATATATATATATATATATATATATATATATATATATATATATATATATATATATATATGACCGAAAAAGTAAGATTAATAATTCTAACACGAATTTTCTCGATCTTTCTTATGTTTCTTTTCACTGTTGATGGTAATTGAAAAATCAATTCTCCAAAATTCATTTTTATTTCTAGTCTGATGCGACACTTGAGCGCGTTTCGTAAAACTTATTACATTTTCAAAGACTTTATTTTACACACACACACAACTATAACTGAATAGAGCTTAGCATCTTCGATTTTTTATACATACATTTGGGTGAGGTGATATGTTACAACAGTTTTGGATGAGGTGAAAACAAACTTTCAACACAAGCCAGAACATGAAACAATGGGTATTGAAGGTAAGAATGGAAGTAATTGCAAAGGGCCTATTGGCCCATATTTCTTGATGCTTCTATACTGGAGCGAAGTCTTGAAGTGGGTAGAATATAGTTGTGCATTAAATGGCTGTTGATTGCTGGTGTTGACTTCTTGATGTGTAGTGCCTCGCAGATGTCAAGCAGCCTGCTATCGCTGTATCTATCGATGATTTCTGTGTTGTTTACTAAGATTTCCTTGGTGATGGTTTGGTTGTGGGAAGAGATTATATGTTCCTTAATGGAGCCCTGTTGCTTATGCATCGTTAAACGCCTGGAAAGAGATGTTGTTGTCTTGCCTATATATTGAGTTTTTTGAGGCTTACAATCCCCAAGAGGGCATTTGAAGGCATAGACGATGTTGGTCTCTTTTAAAGCGTTCTGCTTTGTCTCTGCAGAGTTTCTCATGAGTAGGCTGGCCGTTTTCTTGGTTTTATAGTAAATCGTCAGTTGTATCATCTGATTTTTGTCTGTAGGGATAACGTTTCTATTAACAATATCTTTCAGGACCCTTTCCTCCATTTTATGAGCTGTGGAAAAGAAGTTCCTGTAAAATAGTCTAATAGGGGTTCTAGGTGTTGTGTTAGTTGTCTCTTCAGAGGTTGCATGGCGTTTCACTTTTCTTCTTATGATGTCTTCCACGAAACCATTGGAGAAGCCGTTGTTGACTAGGACCTGCCTTACCCTACAGAGTTCTTCGTCGACTTGCTTCCATTCTGAGCTGTGGCTGAGAGCACGGTCGACATAAGCGTTAACAACACTCCTCTTGTACCTGTCTG